TTTTCACGCGCCATGGAACGCAGACTCCGCGGGGAGGAGAATCGCGAGGCTCACGCGATTCCCTCGAAATCGCGAGACGAGGCGCCGGATATCTCGGTAGACGCTCGTTATCGCGATCGATTAATCGAGAAAGCGTGCCCGCGTGATTAACGAGATCTCTGTACGCGAAACAATTTTTACTTCGCGGGTACGCTAGTACCGTTTATCGACTGCACGATACTCTTATCGTTCGCTGCGAGATAATCGCTTCTATATAAGGATAGATAAATACAAAAATAATTATGGTGGGGGACAGGAGGAAAATGCTTCCAACGCATTCTCGTTACCGCGAATTTCGTAATGCGGATAATGTGAAGAACGCAAAAGGAAAATGTGTAAAATAAACTCACTGATTTAGAATGACACATGCACTATATTAAACACACTTATTTAAAGTAACACATAGACTAAGCGCATGTATCTAAACACACTTTTTGATACGTATACAATGCGTACGATCCAATATGGCGTCCGCGCAGGAAGAGTGTACTGCGCATGTCCCGAAAATTCCGCGCGTATTTAAATTCTGTAAATTCGTATTCGGTGAATGAATGAATTTCTTGACATGGATTTACTACTTTAATATCAGTTTTAGTTTAAAACAAGTTTCCCATCAATTTCAGACTCCATCTATGTCCTCATAGAATATACTACTCATAATAAATATTAAATAATAAATTACTTACGATAAATATTGACATATCTACAGTTTTGAAAATTTAAACGTTATCCTAGATGAATGGGACAAGAAATAATTATTTCGATCACAGGAAGTACCTATAAAACCATGAATAAACTTCTCCCCTTTTGAGAAGTTGAGACGCGAGCATAGTAATCTCTCGCTACTGGAGGCCGTCCAACACAAATTCTTGCCTCTCCCGGATTAAATAATTCTCAACAGCGATTCACCTCGCGTGGTCTTGAAAAGTTCACTCGCGAACGTTGTTTTTCTGCTCGAAATTATCAGCGTCGAATTAATCGTCGCTTTTAATTCGATGACGAAAATGCGAAGTGACGGTCACCCCTTGTAGTCCGCCAGATCTCGAGTACCTTTTTGTTGATCCGATGGTGCTCGACGCTTTCGCGCAGGCCCTTCAAAACTGATCCACTAATCAAAAACGTTGTGCAATTTTAAAAATGCTCTTGAAAGTTTTGACTGATGGTCAAAAGGTTTTCGTGGTCATTTTTTGGAGATATCAAGATCGCCGATGTATTTTTAAATGGATCGATATATTTCTGTTGCCATAGTAGGCTTATAAAAAACAAATTTGGTGACGTAAGTGCGTTGACCTTCGGGCGATCTTGGGCCAGAAATAACCACGGATTTGGAGGGGAAATTAGAGCTGTTAAATTTGCAAGTTGTATAGTTTTCCTGATTAGCTTCGATCGTGTGATCACCTCTGGCTTTTTGTAGCGGGGTTGCGAATCCAATGTGGCGATTGGTATGAGTTCTGAAATCCCTAGATCTCAAACTCTCGAATTCTGAAATTCGTAGATCGCAAATCCCCAAATTCCTCAGATTCCAAATCCCCCAGATCTCAAATTCCAAATTCCCCAAATCCCAATTTCCCCAAATTCTAAATTCCTCAAATTCCAAATCCCCCAAATCCCAAATTCCCCAAATCTCAAATTCCCCAAATACCAAATCTCCCAAATCCCAAATTCCCTAAATCCCAAATTCTCCAAATCCCAATTCCCCCAAATTCCAAATTCCCCAACTCTCAAATCCCCCAAATCCCAATTTCCCCAAATTCCCCAAATCTCCCAAATCCCAAATTCTCCAAATCCCAATTCCCCCAAATTCCAAATTCCCCAACTCTCAAATCCCCCAAATTCCAAATTCCCCAACTCTCAAATCCCCCAAATTCCAAATTCCCCAACTCTCAAATCCCCCAAATTCCAAATTCCCCAACTCTCAAATCCCCCAAATTCCAAATTCCCCAACTCTCAAATCCCCCAAATTCCAAATTCCCCAACTCTCAAATCCCCCAAATTCCAAATTCCCCAACTCTCAAATCCCCCAAATTCCAAATTCCCCAACTCTCAAATCCCCCAAATTCCAAATTCCCCAACTCTCAAATCCCCCAAATTCCAAATTCCCCAACTCTCAAATCCCCCAAATTCCAAATTCCCCAACTCTCAAATCCCCCAAATTCCAAATTCCCCAACTCTCAAATCCCCCAAATTCCAAATTCCCCAACTCTCAAATCCCCCAAATTCCAAATTCCCCAACTCTCAAATCCCCCAAATTCCAAATTCCCCAACTCTCAAATCCCCCAAATTCCAAATTCCCCAACTCTCAAATCCCCCAAATTCCAAATTCCCCAACTCTCAAATCCCCCAAATTCCAAATTCCCCAACTCTCAAATCCCCCAAATTCCAAATTCCCCAACTCTCAAATCCCCCAAATCCCAATTCCCCCAAATTCCAAATTCCCCAACTCTCAAATCCCCCAAATCCCAATTTCCCCAAATTCCCCAAATCCCCCAAATCCCAAATTCCCCAAATCCCTAAATCCCTATATCCCAAAAATCCCCACCACTCCAAATACCCAAACACAAACACCAAAATACATAAAGCAACATTCGAAGCGCAGCATCTATCCGAAATCAAACATTATATCTGCAATATAATCGAAAGACGAGGCGACATTTTGACGAGCCGTATCGTAAAAGGCAGAGGGGTCAATCGTTCCGCCGTCGCAGAGTTTGGCAAGTCTCGTTGCGTAACCATAGGCCCGGGACATCTCACGCAAGTTTTTCGTCCGTTTCTTTCACATTTTCCAACCTCACCTCGCGTTGCTTCACCGTTTACCAACACAAAGTTACGTCATGCGAGTACGTTCGCCAAGGAGGTCACCGGCGATTCGCTCAATGAATTTACTCAGTAATTACTAAACAATATTTGTGAAATCGTTATCAACTATACCAGCTGATAACGCGCTAGCGTACAGCTATCAAGTAAATATGCTCGCTTTGGCTGTACGATAATATTTTCGGACACCATAAGAATACTTTTATCTTCGGGAGGCAATAGAGATGAGACGAAAAGCTTTTAGCGAAAAGATTTTTTTGAGGAAAAGTTAGCGTCATATTTAAATGGGCGCCAAATTTAAATTGGAGATCTAGGTTCTAAGATTATAACGAATTTTCTTTCATGAATTTCTTTCTCAATTCTTTCATTCTAAAATAGGTTATTAATATATGCACGTAACAGTGATTTAACAGTATCTATTTGAATTAAATCGTGTGGTGTAGAATGTAGTATACGTAGGACGCGGACTTTATCGAGCGTGGATGTACGTGTACATTCAGACATAACAACTCTAACGAATTCATGTTATTATTTCATTCTAAAATACTATATAAATATATGCAAGTAAGAGTAATATTACAGTATCTATTTAAGGGGGACAATACCTTTAGACAGATGCAAATAAGCTGATATTTGTGAATTTTTTTTTATAGGACACCTTTTTTTTGCATTTTCGAAATTTCAGCTATAATTTATTATAACTATTGCCTATTGCAGAATATTTTCTGTTTTGCAAAATATTTCAAAATGCCGGAATTATGACAATCCTTTCTGGAAGTGTTTTGGCGCGTCTCGCGAATCGGCGTGGGTTCCAGCGGAAGATATATTGGTTTCAGCAAGTTTGCGGACAACGTTTCGAAAACTAACATTCACAGTTAGTAGATGAACCTCAGAAACGTGCAAAATATGTAAAATCGAAGAAATGGCGCGTTTAAAGAAAAACTTTGAATTTTATTGAAAATTTTTGCAATGTTTGCAATAAAGAGGACTTTAATGTTCAATTTATTTCATACATTTAGGTTCGTATGTTAGATAGTATTGTCATGGATATGTGGAGAAAATTTGAGCGCGATCGATAAACTAGTTTTTGAGTTATCAGCCACGGCAATTTTAAGAACGTAGTTTTGAGAAAAACGCGTTTAAAGTTTCAGTCCTCCGCACTGAACGCGTGTATACCCGCGGTGCCAATCCGCCATAACTTCAAAAGCGCTTCGTATTTCGCTTGAAAATTTTCAGACAATATTTTTAAGATGTTACACTAACATTTTATAGAAGAAAAAAATTTTGTAATTCTTTAAGATTCTAAAGGTATCCCCCTTAAATTAAAATGTGACTATGTAAGTGAACGTGGTATAGGATTTTATCGAGCGGGGATGTATGTGTGCATTCAGACATAATGACAACTCTAGCGAATCCAAGTTATTATTTCATTCGAAAATACTATATCAATATATGCAAGTAAGAGTAATATTACAGTATCTATTTAAATTAAAATGTGACTATGTAAGCGAACGTGGTATAGGACGCGGATTTTATCGAGCGTGGATGTATGTGTACATTCAGACATAACAACTCTAGCGAATCCAAGTTATTATTTCATTCTAAAATACTATATCAATATAAACACATAAGAGTAATATTACAGCATCTATTTAAATTAAAATGTGACTATGCAAGCGAACGTGGTATAGGACGCGGATTTTATCGAACGGGGATGTACGTGTGCATTCAGACATAACAACTCGAACAAATCGAAGCGATTCTTCCATTCTAAAATACTGCATCAATATAAGCACATAAGAGTAATATAACAGTATCTATTTAAATTAAAATATGAACGTGGTATATGACGCGGACTTTATCAAGCAGGGACATACGTATATCTCGACACACAACTCTCTTTATCAAACTAACCCAATATATTTCTAAAGTAAGCTTCTAAAGTAAAATTTTAGTATGAAGTATCGTGGTGAAAAGCGAAAGGCACGTGGGAGGAGCGAGAAAAGAGGTGGTCGAATTAAAAGAGGGAGTAGCGAGTGCATCGCGATTAGTTTGAAGCACGAGAGAGGAAGGGGTAGGTGAGAGGCGCGTGGAGGCGCGAGGGAAAGAATGGACGTCTGGAGCCAAGCTGGCTACTCGAGAAGGGGCTCGACATCGCGTTTACGAACCGGCACTCGTTTAGGTGGGGGCGGTTAGGCTTATAAGGCACCGGAACACAGTCCCCGGGACCAATAGTCGCAAAACGTTGATTGCGTGGCGTGCAAGGAACGCTCTCCGCCATATCGTTTCGCAATCGGTTACGACAGATCTTCCGGGGTGCTTCTGAGTGTACGGTGGTGAAAATCGCGGCAACGCGTCTATTCGACCGATCTCCTCTTTATTTTCTCTGTCACGGTCAGTGCGTCAAGGAAAACGAGCCAGGACATTTCGATAGCGGTGAGTAAATTCCACCTGTTGATTTTTCCCTGCAACCCCGTTCGAGTTCGTTGATCGAAAGGTCCTTCTAAATACTCTCCTTCGGAAGCGGAAAGTTTCACGTCCATAGACGCGAACACTGGGTCAAGTGTAGATGACGCGTCGAAGGCATCAACGAACCGCAATTTGTGTCGTGTCAATAAGTTAACTGATCGCGGCGCGATTTCTGCAAAAACAATTTCGCCGATTAAACGGATGAGAAGCATACTCGCGGAGAGGTATATCGTAGATCTGGAAATTTGAATCGGGGTGGTCGAACCGATCGGTTTCGTCCACGGAAAGATAACCCCGTAAAAATCTTCCACTTCGAACACGATCAGAGCGGTGGGAATCTACGGTCGATTGATTAATGGTCTCCTTGTATCCGATTCCGGTATCGTATTTGTTCGACCTCGACGAAAAGACGGTGGTGGTGAGCGTACGGGAAAAGAAAACGAGAGGGGGTGAGGAGGGGAAGGGAAGAATCGAAGAAAATAAGGGGAGAGGCTAAAGGGGGTGGGGAGAGACGATCGTGTTTACGCGGAAAGCGTAACCGATATCCCATTGATAGAATTGTTCGTACGCTTCTGTGTACGTTCTTGACGACTCCTTTTTCGCAGTTGGAGAACCACCCTTTGAGGCGAATTGCGAGGCGAGTTTGAGGCTTCGACCATTGGAGGGAGGTTGATAGGCGTTGGATAGGGAATTTGGGAATTGGGGGAGTTGGGTGTTTGGAGGTATGGGGATTTGGGGAAGTGAGAGTTTGGGTGTATAAGGGTAGATTTGGAGATTTGGGGATTTGGGGATTTGAGGATTTGGGGATTTGAGGATTTGGGGATTTGAGGATTTGGGGATTTGAGGATTTGGGGATTTGAGGATTTGGGGATTTGAGGATTTGGGGATTTGAGGATTTGGGGATTTGAGGATTTGGGGATTTGAGGATTTGGGGATTTGAGGATTTGGGGATTTGAGGATTTGGGGATTTGAGGATTTGGGGATTTGAGGATTTGGGGATTTGAGGATTTGGGGATTTGAGGATTTGGGGATTTGAGGATTTGGGGATTTGAGGATTTGGGGATTTGAGGATTTGGGGATTTGAGGATTTGGGGATTTGAGGATTTGGGGATTTGAGGATTTGGGGATTTGAGGATTTGGGGATTTGAGGATTTGGGGATTTGAGGATTTGGGGATTTGAGGATTTGGGGATTTGAGGATTTGGGGATTTGAGGATTTGGGAATTTGATAATTTGGGGATTTGGAGAATTAGGGATTTGAGGATTTGGGGATTTGGAGATTTGGAGATTTGAATGATTGGAAAATTGGGAGCTTGCGAATTTAGGGAGATGAGAATTCGGAGATTTGGAAGTTTGGGAAGGTGAGAATTTGGTGATATAGGAATTTGGGAATATAGGAATTTGGGAATTTAGGAATTTGGGGCGATAGGTGTTTGGAGATATGTGAATTTAGGGATGTGGGGATTTCAGGCTTTAGGAATTTGGGAATTTAGAGATTTGGGAGTGTAGAATTTGGAGGAAATAGAGATTTGGGGATTTAGGGATTAGGGAATGGAGGAATTTGGGGGTGTGGGAATTTAGGAATGTAGGAATTTGAAGGCTTAGAAATTTGGGGAAGTAGAAATTTGGGAATATAGGAATTTGGGAATATGGGAATTTGGGAATGTGGGAATTTGGGAATGTGGGAATTTGGGGATATGGAAATTTGGAAATTTGGGAATTTGGGGATGTGGGAATTTGGTGATATGGGAATTCGAGAATATGGGAATTCGGGAATATAGGAACTTGGGGATGTGGGAATTTCAAGCTTAGGAATTTGAGAATTTAGTGATTTGGGGGTCTAGAATTTGGAAGATACAGAGATTTGGGAATGTAAGTATTTGGAAATGTAGGAATTTGGGAATTTAGGGATTTGGGAATATAGAGATTTGGGAATGTAGTGACTTAGATATGTAAGAAATTGGGGATGTAGCGAGTTGGAAATGTAGGAATTCCAGGATTTAGGAATTTAGGAATCTGTTAATTTTGCAAATTTGACTACTTGGGACCTAAAAATCTCGGGACGTACTATCTAGATATGTAGGAATTTAGGTTTGTGAAGATTTAAGGATATCAAGATTTGGGAACCTGAGGATTTGGAAATTTATCCACTTGGTCTATCAATTTGGTAGTAAGACATTGGAAAATTCACTCATTCAAACTTGCAGGGACTCAAAAATGATTTGGGGATGTAAAAGTTAGGAAATCTGGAGATTTAGAAATTCATCAATTTAGTCTATCAATTTGGGAATATAATAGATTTGAAGATACACTAACTCAAACTTGCAGGGACTCAAAAATGATTTGGGGATGTAGAAGTTAAGAAATCTGGAGATTTAGAAATTCATCAATTTAGTCCATCAATTTGGGAATATAATAGATTTGAACGTGCACTCATTCAAACTTTCAGGGACTCAAAAATGATTTGAGGATATTATATAGACTTGAGAACCTGAGCATTGGGTATGCACAGAATAATTATAACAAATCACTGTTAAGTGAGCTAGACTCCATGCCAAATGAGTAATAACTACTAACAAGAAATAAATCATAAATGAAACTCACCCCCTTCGGATCCTTTGGTCAGCAGCTTCCTAACAACAGCAGTCTTCTCCGTGTACGCATCAACCTTCGCCAAATGATCACAAAGTCGTTGAAACTCCAGAAAGGCGTCATCTTTCGAACTCCTCGATTTCAAGACGTCTTCCTTAGCTTCTTCGTTGGATGTCGACGCGCCCTTAGGATTCTTCGACTTCCTCTTAGGTGGTGAGTCAGAATCACCTGTTGCTTTGCGTTTCTTCGGTGGTTGATCCTTTTTGTTCTTCGGAGTCTTAAAAGGACCTGCAAATCCATCGAATTCGAGGAATCGATGAGACGCGTCTGGAAATCCTTCGCAGGAGAATCTCAACTCGAGTGATCTTCCGCGACGCTAATCTCCGTAAGGAGGAACGTCGAATGCAACGTAAATCATCGAACGATCGCTCTAATAGGCGATAATACTCGAAAGATGATTTATGGAACACAATTTGTATATCCCCGATTTAATTGAACGGCAATTAAAACGGATCGACGCCTTATCGCGACAGAGACGAACGCCAACGAGGCTATTCGAATTTCTTTATCTGCTTGTACAGGGTGTCTCAAGAGAGGTGCGCGCGGATGTTCGACAACTGTGAATTCGTCTTTTTAATATGAGTCGAAAAGTCCTTTGCCGATTTGCGATACGAGCGATCGTTTTCGAGAAAATGAACCTTCAACCACCTGTTGATTTTTAGGGATTTTTGGAATTTCTGAATTTACAAATTTTTTCTGAATTTCTTGGAAGTTGGAGGAATCTGAGATCTTTGGAATTTGGGGATTTATGGTGGAGATATGGGGGAAAAAAATTGGGGATCTAGGGAATTTGGGATCTAGGAAATTTGGAGTCTAGGAAATTTTGGATCTGAGGAATTTGGGATCTAGAGAATTGCAATCTAGGGAATTTGGGAGCCAGGGAATTTCGAATTTAGGAAATGTGGAGTCTAGGGAATTTTGGGTCTATGCAATTTGGGATCTAGAGAATTACAATCTAGGGAATTTGAGATTTAAGGAATTTGGAATCTAGAGAATTGCAATTTAGGGAATTTGGGATCTAAGGAATTTCGGATCTGGGAAATGTGGAGTCTAGGGAATTTTGGGTCTATACAATTTGGGATCTAGAGAATTGCAATCGAGGGAATTTGGGATCTAGAGAATTGCAATCTAAGGAATTTCAAATCTAGGAAATGTGGAGCCTAGGAAATTTTGAGTCTATGTAATTTGGGATCTAGAGACTTGCAATCTAGGGAATTTGGAATCTAGAGAATTTGGGATCTAAGGAATTCGGGATCTAGGAAATGTGGAATCTAGGGAATTTGGGATCTAGGAAATTTGGGATGTAAAAAATTTTGGATCCAAAAAATTTGGGATCTAGGGAATTTCGGATCTAGGAAATTTGGGATGTAGGAAATTTTGGATCCAAGAAATTTCGGATCTAGGAAATTTGGGATCTAATTTAGAAATCTGAGGATCTATATAAAATTTACAAAATTCAAAAAATTCAAAAATTGAAATCTAGAAAACTTGACAACCCAACCCCAAGAATTAAAAGTGTATAGGTCAATCTCTAACTATAAATCTTAAAAATGAAAGACCCTGTAAATACGACAATAAACTTGTGTCCTCATTCAAAGGAAATATACGCCCGTTCGAGAACATCGTTCTCCAGCGTCGAGATCACCGCATTCCCTTACATGAATTCTCAAACTCCTCGAGCTTCTGAAGAACAGTCTTCTTGTCCTCTTCGTCTAACTCCTCCCACCCGCTTACGTCTTCTTCGGGATCCTCTATCCTCTTCGTGGTGGCCCTCTGTTTCGCGAACACCTCGAAGAGACAGCTCAGATGGTGCCACGCTTTCATCTTCCCCTCGGCGAACGGATTCGCCATCAGCTTCGCGATCCTCACCGTGTCTTTCTCTATGGGACACTTGCATTTTTTGCATTTCGCGCGACCGCTCTTCGCGCGCTCCACCGCGAACGGTTTTTCTTCCTTCTCGTCGTCCGACATTGGACGAACTGCGAACAGAAAGATCGGAGAATTAGAGATTCAAGAGAGACGATTTATACTAAGGGAGACGTTTCGTTCTGTTGTTAAGCTGCATTTTGAAAGACAGCGTCGTGTTGCGATTCTGGTAACTTGACGCTTAAGGCGAGGCAACTTTTGAAGGAGATAGGTACAAGGTTTAAAATAGTTGAAAATATTGGAGCAAAATTTAATGTAAGTACATAAGGATCTAACTCCGTCGAAATGGTATAACCACCGATCAAGTATTCGATGGACTCCTGTATCCGCAGGCCATCGACCACGTAAAATTTCACTTTCGTAGACTAAATTTGGATCGGAACGGAGCGA